GCCTGCCAGCCCCACCCCCGGGGACTATAGATTAGTCGACTAATGGATAAGAATTCTTGAGGTTACTCGACTATTCAATTAACCGATATCTGACATCCCTAGTCTGCCTGTGTTGGGGGTCTTCTCTCACGGACGGTCTGAGGCCTTGTTCTTAAGGCCTTTGGCTAAGCAGCAGGTGCCGGCTTAAGCTGGGAAATGTACGGTCACATCCTCGCACTTCCCAAACCAGTCCCACTGAAATAAGGCAATTTGGGGCTGTGAGAAAGGCAATCCCATCTATTGCCTCCAGATAATGGGAAGAGCCTAGAACAGGGGTGGGGAATGGAAGGCCTAGGGGCGGGATGTGGTCCCTTGGCTCGCCTGGATCCAGACCCCGAGGCTCCGGGCTCCCCCCACCAGCATTGGGGAACCCGTGCTGGTACCCCAGTCCCCCTCGCCATCCAAAATCAACTCTCCTGGGCCCCCCTAGGCTCTGGTGCGCGAGGGGAGTGTGGGGAGGGTCTTTCTCCTTCCCAGTCGGGTTTTTCCCCCCTTCTTGTGTGTGGCCCTCGACTGATTTTCTATGGGTCAGCAGCCCCTGACCCTAAAAAGGTTCCCCACCCCTGGCCTGTAAGATGAAAGGAAGCACAGGTTGATAGTTTTCTGTCTGGCAAGGACCCACTTTTCAGTAGCTTGAGGTCGGGAAATCCTCATTTCTTTATTGTTTTGCTATTATGCTCCCGGCTCTTCCCCAAATTGGGGGAGGTGCGGGGGGGGACATAGCCAGTTCCCTCTCCCCTCCCCCGGGTCTCCTCTCTCCAGTTGTCTCTGCTGGGGGAGATTGAGGCAGGACCGGGGGAACAGTTCACGGCACATTCACGGGAATCTTGGCCTTTTTTTCCTTCACTCATCAGACGGCTTCTGTACAGGGTTGCCAGGTGTCTGGTATTTGTGGCTTCTGTCCGGTAAAAAAAAACCCAGAAGGCTGCTTGGGACATTCTTCTCCTGCCACGTCTGGTGGTGGGAGCGTGGGGATTTAAAGGTGCCGTTGCTCAACAACTTTGGTCCCCGTGGGTTTTTTTTTTTGGCTCAACCAATTTTTTCCCCGCCATGTTCGGTATTTTTTGTGAAACTATCCGGCAACCCTACTTCTGTATCAGTTTCACTGACAACTCTTAACTTTTCCCTTCATTCGCCAGCTGGTTTCTGTGTCAGTCCTCACCTGTGCAGGTGCCTCTCCAGATCTCTCTTTCCTCCCCGGCCCGGAGGTCGGGCACCCAGGGCTCTTCCCCTCGTTCCAGCCGGGCGATCAGCTCAGGTTTGGGAATGGGAAACCCTGCGCAGGGAGTGAAATCAGAGCAGATCAGGCTGTGTCGGGCACTGGGAGAGGATTTGCCACAAAGAACATTCCCTGATTTTAACCTGGCCCGCGCTGGGCTGCGGGGACGCCGTGTGTGCATGGACGGGAACCCGGTGACGGAGTCCGCTTGGGACAGGCCGACCGGGAGTTGCTGCCCTCTCAATCAGGAGTTTCCAGGAGGCACTCGGCTCGAAAGCCCCCACCTGTTTCGAAGCCCCTGGAGCACTTCCCACTGGAAGGAGCAGGACCTAGGAATGGAGTGGGCTGAGGACTGTGCGGGACAGAATACGGACTCAGAACTCACACAGACTAGGGATGGGAAAGTGTAACCATGTACACATGGGATGAGGAACCTTTTTTGGGTCGGAGGCCTGCAGAAATATCACTCAGCAGCTGCACATAAACACCCCCCCATTGACATGGCCCCTGACTGAGGAGGAGAAAGACCCTCCCCACATTCTCCTTGCATCCCTGAGCCTAGGGAGGTGCGGACTAGTAGATTTTGTGGGCCCCCATTTCTCTGGGGTGGGGCTCCTCAATGCTTGGGGAGGAGCCCGGAGTCTTGGGGGCTGGATCCGGCCCTTGGGCCATCAATTCCCCACCCCGGTGGACACAGTTAATCAATGATCCTGGGTTCATCGGTTAACTTTCACGGTTACACACAGGCTCCCAGTACACATGGTTATACCAGCTCCCGAGGAGCCGACTGCCAGCCCACGTGTAATTGCTGAAATTTTCAGCGGTTACATGGTTACTTAATGCAACGCCTTTGAACATCCCTAATACAGACTAGGGATGTTAAAAAGCAGTTAAGTAAGTAACTGCCGAGGGGAAAAAATGTAGTGTTTACATACTTACATGCTGTAGGCTCGCAGCACGGAGTGGCAGCCGGCTCCCCGGGAGCCGGTGTGAGCTGGAAGCCAGCTTTTAAGCCGGCTCCTGGTACACACTGGGCTTCTGCCTGCAGCCTTGCTCCCTGGGAGCTGTCTGCTTCCCCATACTGCGGATTCTGATACAGAGCCAGTAGCATGTGGTGGCTGCCAGCTCCCTTGGATCGGGGCTGGGAGCCGGTGTGTAACCGTTTAAACGGTTATTCTATTACATCCCTGATTCAGACCGGTAAATACAAGGCTTTGCCTCTTTGGAAGAGGATGGATGAGGAGGAATTAGCATCTCCATTGTGTTTCTGAACCCCTCGCTCCTCCCCCTTCTATGGAAGAAGATCTGACAAGGAATTTCTGCCAAGCGCCAGATCTGGGGAATATGGCTCCATTCCTGGGAAATCTAAGCGGCCGGGGAAAAACGTGAGCAAAAGTCAAAAAAGCCGCCCAGCAGTGTCCCCACCGCTTCTAATAACCAAGGGGATGGGATGCCCTTACCCAGCGAGGTCACCGCCTCGTAGTTCTCCTGCATGACGTCCCTGTAGAGGGCTCTCTGAGCGGGGCCCAGCAGCGCCCCCTGCCCCTGGGTGAAATACACAGCCACCTCCTCGAAGGTCACCCGCATCTGCAACAACAAGAGTCCCTCACCCACTGCCTGCGGCCCCAGCCGCCATCCCACTACTCATGGCAGAGGGAGGCTGGTAAAACAGTAGAATCCTACCCCCACCATGTGTCAAAATAGCCAGGAGAGTTCAAGGTGATGGCAGGAAGAGAGATTTTCCCATTTACCTCACACCTACCAGCCAGAGGCTGCTACAGGAGATGGAGCCTGGACCAGGGAATCCCAACCTTCCTACCCACTCCCAGAAGACTGGGGTGAGGGGATGGGGCCTTTCCCCTGAGTCGCATGGCTGGGTGCCCCGTTTGTATTCCACAGCAGCCCCGGCTAGAGGATTCTGGCTCCCACGCCCCTTACAGCTGTTGCCCCAGCCCCTTACAGCTGTTGTTTTTCTTCCCGCACCCTCCGACCCTCATCCCTATTCCCACAGGCCTCCTCGGAGGTTCGCATCCTAGACCGAGCAACTCCAAGGGGTGTGTCCCACCCTCCCTCCTTCACCCTGTGTGTTTCCTGCCCCACCCTCCCGAGTACAAACCCATCCACGGTTCCCAACAAATCCCCTACCCGAGTTTGCTCCATGGCCCCTCCTGTCTCCACCTGGGACAATCTCGACACTCGTGATTCTGCAGCCTGTCAGGGTGAGAAGAGCCAGGGGGGATATTTCAGAAGCACGTTAGTGCATTTCACACCCCAGTTCCCTCCCGGTTCCTGGCCTTCAAAGGGGCATTCTAGATTCAAGGCAAACGCTGGGACCACTTTATTTCTGGACAAACTGCAGAACTGGTGTGAGGTTGACGTGACGAAGTTTAATAAGGACAAAGGCACGTAGGAAGGAACAATCCATTTCACACATACAGAATGGGAAGCGACCGTCTAGGAAGGAGCATGGCAGAAAGGGATCGAGGGGTCATAGTGGACCACACGCTAAATATGAGTCAACAGTGTGACACTGTTGCAAAAAAAGCCAACATGGTTCTGAGATGCATTCACAGGAGTGTTAGGAGCAAGACACGAGAAGTCGTTCTTCCGCTCCGCTCTGCACTGATTAGGCCTCAATTGGAGTAGTGTGTCCAGTTCTGGGCACCACATTTCAAGAGAGATGTGGAGAAATTGAAGAAGGTCCAGAGAAGAGCAACATGAATGATGAAAGGTCAAAACATGAGCTATGAGGGAAGACTGAAAGAACTGGGCTTGTTTAGTTTGGAAAGAGACGACTGAGAGGGGACAGGATAGCGGTTTTCAGGTATCTAAAAGGGCGTTACAAGGAGGAGGGAGAAAAATTGTTCTCCTTGGCCTCTGAGGATAGGACAAGAAGCAATGGGCTTAAACTGCAGCAAGGGAGGTTGGACATGAGGAAAAACTTCCTGTCCGGGTGGTTAAACACGGGAATAAGTTGCCTATGGAGGTTGTGGAATCTCCATCACTGGAGATATTTAAGGGCAGGTTGGACAGATACCTGTCAGGGATGATCTAGATGGTGCTTGGTCCTGCTGTGAGGGCAGGGGACTGGACTCGATGACTTCGCGAGGTCCCTTCCAGTTCTAGGGCTCTATGATTCATCACAGAAGTGGCGCCGACCGCCAGGGCGAGCTCCAGGGAGACAGCGTCTCTGAACCACACCCTAGAATGAAAGCCACCCAGATGTTCTCCCCAAGAGCAGCACATCCCCCCCCAGCACCCTAGGGTCCCAGCAGGGGCAGATCCTGGCTTCTCCTCTCTCTGCTTCTCCCCTTGTGCCCAGGAAATCCATCGTCCCAGGGACTTTGTAGTGAATGGATTTGAATGGGAACAGCCATCTCTATTTCCTCTCCTGAAGGATCTTTTTCCCTCTCTGACACCCCTTTTCCCCTACACCCTACCCTTAGCATCCTGCCTCCCCCAATTCCCTGCACCCCCTCTTTCTGCATCCCTCTCCCCCCCCCCCCCCCACCCCCTTCTCTCAGACCCCCACCTCCCTACATACCGTCTTGCTCCCACGCTCCCTGCAATTCGTCAGCCTCCTTCTGGGTCCCCGCACGTCCCTCATATTTCACCATCTCCTGCCAAACATGGACCACGCTGGCTTAGCCTCATTGATCACCCCCCAAGCTGAGCATAGACAATCTCAGCCATCGCGGCCGGGAGCTTACCTGTCGCTCCAGACCCATTGGCAATCGTGGGAAAGATGTGCTGCTTTTCCCCTCCACAAACAGATCTTTGAAAAGGGAGGAGTGAACCAAAATCCGGGCATTTTGGGAACAGTGTGACACTATAAGAACAACCACACTGGGTCAGACCAAAGGTCCATTTAACCCGGTGTCCTCTCTTCCAACAGCGGCCAATACCAGGTGCCCTAGAGGGAATGAACAGAACAGTGATCCCTCCCCTGTCGCCCATTTCCAGCTTCTGACAAACAGAGGCTAGGGAAACCATTCCAAGCCATCCTGGCTAATAGCCATTGTTCACCTCCATGAATCCATCCTCACCTCCATGAATCCATCTAGCTCTTTTTTGAACCCTGTTATATTAATTTTGGCTTCACAACATCCCCCCGCAAGGAGTTCCACAGGTTAACTGTGTGCTGTGGGGACGGGGGTGAGGGAATACTTCCTTTCGTTTGATTTTAAATTTGCTGCCTGCTCATTTCATTTGGTGACGCCTAGTTCTTGTGTTAGGAGAAGGAGTAAATAACACTTCATGATTCACTTTCTCCACACCAGTCATGACTGTGTAGATTTCTATCACATACCCCCTTAGTCGTCTCTTGTCCAAGCTGAAAAGTCCCAGTCTTATTAATCACTCCTCAGACGCAAGCTGTTCCATACCCTAATCATTTTTGTTGCTCTTTTCTGAATCTCTTTTGAAGTTGGAGGAACCACATTTGCATGCATGCCATGTGAGCAAACAGTGGATTTAAACAGAGGCACCGTGATATTTTCTATAAGCTACCCCTTCCTTAATGAGTCCCAACATTATGTTAGCATATTCACGTAGCTAATATATTGATGTCGCTAATATATGAATAATCGATAAACCCAAAGAAAATGACTTAAAGGGATTTTATATGAAAAACTGGTCAGAGAAAAAGGCAAAAGAACATGGTGTTGTTCTGTGGTGTTTGATATTTGGAGGGAAAAGTTACAAGATGAGAGGGGATTATATTGACCTATTAGATAATTATCTGTAGGGGTGTATCTACACAGCAGGGCTTACTACACACCACTTATTTTGAAAAAGAGCACTTTTCCTCTGACTTCCCTTACTCCTCATACAATCAGGGTTACAGGAGTCAGAGTAAGAAGTCCTCCAGCTTGACAGTATCTTGACATAATTTCGAAGTAACTGCCTGCAGTGTTGATGCAGACTAAGTTATTTCGAACTAATGCTAGTTAGTTCGAAATAATGTTGCTGTGTAGACATACCCTGGGGTTGTGTCTACACTGGCCACTTATTCCGGAAAATCAGCCGCTTTTCCGGAAAAACTTGCCAGCTGTCTACACTGGCCGCTTGAATTTCCGGAAAAGCACTGACGATCTAATGTAAAATCATCAGTGCTTTTCCGGAAAAACTATGCTTCTCCCGTTCGGGCAAACGTCTTTTTCCGGAAAACTGTTCTGGAAAAGGGCCAGTGTAGACAGCACAGTAGTGTTTTCCGCAAAAAAGCCCCGATCGCGAAAATGACGATCGGGGCTTTTTTGCGGAAAAGCGCGTCTAGATTGGCCACGGACGCTTTTCCGCAAAAAGTGCTTTTCCGGAAAAGCGTCTGTGCCAATCTAGACGTGCTTTTCCAAAAATGCTTTTAATGGAAAACTTTTCCGTTAAAAGCATTTCCAGAAAATCATGCCAGTGTAGACGTAGCCTGGAAGTATAGAGATGTAAAATCTCATGTATTCAGTTTGCCGGTTAAACATTGCACGTAACTGGGTAATTGATGAAGTGGAACCCTGCAGATGCGGGCTGCTCTCAAGCGCTGGTTAACCAGTTACTGGTAAGCATCACCTGGTAAGGGCGATGGTTAGTAGGTAACCCATTAACTGATTACCCATTCACATCCCTGGAGATTAATAGTGTTCCACAGAACCCCAGGGTTCTGCGAAGCGAAAACAAGGGTTCCACGAGAAATTCCACTACAGTAACATTTTATGATTTTAAAAAAATAATTATTATTGCATATCAGTTGTTGAGCTTTATTTTTGGGACACATTTAAATGTGAATTTAAAGACGTGCAATTAAACTGAACGTTGACCTCATGACCTTGTTTAGCATTTGTTTATTATTATCCTTCCTTATTTAGGAAAAAATTCCTAACTGTCAGGGTGGTCAAATATTGGAATAAATTGCCAAGGGAGGTGGTGGAATCTCCCTCTCTGGAGATATTTAAGAACAGGTTAGATAGACATCTGTCAGGGATGGTGTAGACGGAGCTTGGTCCTGCCTTGAGGGCGGGGGGCTGGACTCGATGACCTCTCGAGGTCCCTTCCAGTCCTATGATTCTATGATTCTATGATTTGTGGTCCACTTTTTCAGCTCCATATATAAGACTGTCCGGGGCGAGGGCTGTCTGAGTTCCCAGACCCACCGTAAGCCAGAATTGAGCCAGGCTGCCTACCCACCTAGCTTCGAATACACTTTAAATGCAGAGCTACAGCAGGGGTAAGTCCCAGACCCATTGCAAGCCAGGACTGAGCCAGACTGCTGGCCAGCCTGCTAAAAAATGTACTGTCAGTTGGGGGAAAATTTGCATAGTCTATAGTATTCACCTATACGCTTTTGCTTATTGGTTAACTGGTTAATTGGGACGGGAGCCTGGGGGAAGGGCTGTCTTCCCAACGTGGGATGTGCTGGGCAGCATAGCTCTCTGAAGGAAGAGAGTCTTGCATGGAGCAGAGGCGGGATGTCCTAGCCCTTGCCAGCCGGTCCCGTCTCAGGTTCCCCCCACACCAGTGCTCCCTGTAAGATGTGCGCTAGGGCACCCACCCAGGAGGGATTCCAGCTGAGTAGCAGAGCGCTCACCGCTAGGTCTGTGTTTCTGCTGGTGGTGCACACCCGCCCATGCCTCGGCAGATGTCACAAAATTTATGCTGCCCCTGGATGGGAAAAATGAGTGGGAACACTGCCAATCACTGCAGGTTGGAACCCTGAGCCTCTGTTTGTCAGAAGAATGGGCGACAGGGGAGGGATCACTTGATGATCCCCTGTACTGTTAATTCCCTCTGGGGCACCTGGCCTTGGCCACTGTCACCAGACAGGACCCTGGGCGAGATGGACCTTGGGTCTGACCCAGCGTGGCCAGTTCTTAGGTAGCCTGGGAGCTTACGTTCCTTACTTTGCTAGCCGCTAAAATCCATGGCCGGAATAGCCTGGATTTCGGACCTACTATAAATGATGACAATTTCTAACTCTTTAACTAGGGGCGTTCAGGGTTAACTGGTGGGGGCTGGAGCGCCCCCTCCCCCCACTGATGCTGTTTAATCAGTTATCATTTACCCAGTGAACTGACTCCATGGGGTTTTACATCCCTACCACTAACCCCCTCCCCCTTTTTTTTGGTCCTATGACTGCTGAGGGGTTCAGGGTCCTAGTCTAACTCTATTCGCTGAACAATCCCTTCCAGGAGCGGTGGGGGGGGGGGGGAGCAGAAAGCCTGTCTCTCCTCCCTCCCCTCCCCTTTCCTTCCCACCCCCGCTCCAACACAAGATCTCCTACCTGGTCGCTCCCTTAAGACCCTGCAGCCAGGATCGGGTCCCTGCCCAGCCGCCGCCGCCAGGCACAGGACCCTGCAGGGAGGCTGGCGTTCCCACGGCCATCCAGAGACACCGGAGCCAATTCGAATCACTTCCTGCTGCCAGGAGAGGGGGGGTGGGATGGCTCCTGCCCCCAGCTCCCTTCTGGGTCCTAAAGCTACACCCATCTCCTGGCCCCCTGCTCCTGTCTCTCTGGGGCTCTGACCCAGTATGCAGGAGGCAGCCCCTGTGGGAGGGGTTGCTGGACCTCTGAGGGGGGGAAAAGGCCTTACCAGACCACTCCCGGGTGGGGGGGTTCTCTGGGGATTAGAGGATGTAGCCTTGGATGAGCCCCTGACGTGGCGGGTTATGGGATTCGGCGTGGACGGAGTTGGCACCAGGGTTTGGTGCAAGGGGGGCACGTTTCTTGGGGGGAGTGTGTCTGAGATGTGGGGTGTGGCTGCTGGAAAGGGTTTGCTTCAGTTTGGGGGGCGGGGAGGCTGCCTGAAAACTGGCCTGTCTCCTAAGGTCTGTGAGAGGGAGGGGTCATTTTTCCAGGATAGGCTGCACACTGTGGAGGAGGCGCGGAATACATTTTGTGACATGCACCCAAGGCGTGCACAGATGTGCACCACCTATCGACGCAATTTGCTGCTGGCTGTGGGAGACTGTGGTTGCTCTGCTAATCGGCTCGGTGGCACGCAAATCTCTCCTGTGCAGCCGCCCAAGTGCTCAGGTATAGGCAACGTTGGGCCTGTCTTGAGTAGGTGACTTCTGGGTGCTCATCCGACTCTGTCAATCTGTTTCCTCACTTCCCCAGGTGGGTATTTAAGTTTTCAGATAACAATACTGTGGGTGTTTGTGTCTGTCTGTTGGAATGGAGCAGAAACGGTTGTATCTTACGGCTTGGCTGTGGATAATGGATAAAGTGATGTGCCCTGGAGGAAGCTAAAAGCATGTAGGTAAGAATAACGGTCAGTAGGTTTCTGGTATAGGGTGATGTTTATGTGACCGTCATTTATTTCTATTGGAGTATCTAGGAAGTGGCTCTCTTGTGTGCACCCTTTAAGAGTTCTACAGGGATTTCAAAATTTTCACCCCCTATCAACCTCACCTTGGACCAGTCCATACAGCCCACAGCTTAAAAAATTTCCCTGTCTTTGATATTTGCATCTCTACATCAAATGCTGTGAATGAGACATATCCACCCTCATTTAAAATGAGGCTCGGCGATATTCCACGCTTAGCCTCATTTGCATATTACTCGTGCAAGAAACCGCGAGTGTAGACATAACCCAGGTGGGAATTTCAATTTTAAGAATGCCTGATAAAAATCTTGTCTTGTCTCTGTCTGTGGGATGGTGGCAAAGGAAGTAGGACAGGCGGGGGAGGGCGGAGGCTGGGAGCCAATGGGAAAGGAGGCATGAAGCAGCCAATCAGAGCCTGGTTGGGCTGGATAAAAGGGTTGTAAACCTGGCTGTGCCTTTAGTCTTACTCTCCGTAGAGAGAGCAAAGGACCTGGCTGCCTA